TTTACATGCACTGTTGGGTTCCAGTGCCAACGTCGTACTTATAGATCTGGCAATATTCAGGATCATGGCCTTCTTGAGGATTTAGATTAGACCTACCTACTCGGTGGTAAAATGTGTCATGGATCTTGAAATTGTAGATCCCCTGTGTGACCCTCTCATCAAAATGAGCTTTAGAGCTGACCATGGCAAAGGCGGAATTGAATTGAAAAATTTTATCCAGATTCTGGATCCAAGCTTTACAGCCCTGTTTTCAGATTGGGAGTTTCCAATAAGTTCCTGAAAGTATGGTGAATTCTGCAAATAAGTGAACCAGGACGTGATTGAGCCATGCGAACGAGCTCATCTTGAAAATGAACGAGCATTTGACATAACACCACATTAGGACAGGACAACGTCTGTCGGGCCAGCTAGTAAAAATATAAAATTCCAGCTTTGCTCTGGAAGTAATAAGTCTTGCAGTCTGTGGTTAAACTTGAAACTATTTCAAACTACGTCCATATGTTTAGTTGTAAACAAAGGGAATTGCGTTTGATGGTTTGATCTAATGTCAACAGATAGCACCACCGTTCCCAAACTTTAGCTCTTTACTGTACTTAAGTGATGCCCTTTCTTAATATTCTGAGACGTATTTGCACATCTACGTAAAAATACCTTTAATTTGTCACCTCAAACGTTAAAATCCGTCAAACCGTTATCGAGTTATGACTGTGAAAAGAAACCTGCTTGCGTATTAATATACAGACTGTCCCAAAAGTCCCGGGCCGGTTTAATATTTTTTAAACGACAACAGATAAATCAATAAGATTTTGGTACATCAACACCACACCTAAAAATCTACTTTTTTATGGGAATATAAATTTTCTGTCATATCATGGGGACGTCCCGCAAGGAGTCAGAAGGAAATCTTAAATAGAAGCATAGGTTGACATGTACATCAAATTAAAGGTCTTTACTAGCAGTATATAATGCTGCAAATTTGAACTCAAACGGACAACCAAGTCAAGAATGACAGTGGTTCAAAGATTCATTTAATTTGCATTTGGGGGCACAGCCCTAGGAATCGGAAAAAAAAATTTTAACGTACGCATAGGTCGAAATGCACATCAAATTAAAGGTCATCACTAGTAGATTACAATGCCGTAAATTCAAGCTCAAAAGACCGCCTGAGTAAAAAATGGCAGTCGTTCAAAGATTCCAAATGGCAGGTTCAAGAAATCTTTGAAAGGCCGCCATTTTGTAACGGGTGATCCTTTCGAGGCGCGGTTTCCGGCATTGAACTCTGCTAGCTAAGCCCTTTAAACTGATGTGCATATTGACCTATGCTCCTATTTAAGATTTCCTTCTGACTCCTCGTGGGACGTCCCCATGATATGACAGAAAATTGATAGTTCCTTAAAAAAGTAGATTTTCAAGTGTGGTGTTGATGTGCAAAATCTTATTGATTTAGCTGTTGTCGTTTAGAAAATATTAAACCGGTCCGGGACTTTTGGGACAGTCTGTATAGATAGGACATAAAAAATCAATCACCCCCAGTTAATACCTACGTTAATAGGTTCTACAGGAAGTACGCTAAAATTAAACCACGTTTGCATTTTGCTCTTTTTGTGATTACTTTGTATTTATTTATTTAGAGTTTAGTCTTTCCAAAAAATCATTGTACTAAAGTAAAGAGAAGCTAACTAAATTAATTAATGCAGTTGAGTTTAGTTTCTAAAATTAATGTTTTGAGTGTAACCGATTACTACAGTAGATTTTAGTTACCACGTTATATTCTTCTGCACTCGCGGTCTGTTGAGAAGCAGTGGTAAAGTATTAGATAGTTCATGTATTATGTAAATCTTACATTTTATTTAAGTTGCCCTCTTGAAAGCTACTCAAATAAAAAACTATGTCATATTTAACTAAGTAATTTGTTAAACATACATCTAGTCCCAATTTAGTGCTTTGTTGGTTTAGATACGATATAGAATTTGTAATAATACAAGATGATGTAAAAGTAGAGTTTATAACAACTGGAAACGTTTTAAGAAGTTTTGTAAAACGAAGTGGAATCTTTTATGGAGAAAAACTCCCTAAATATGTGGGTTAAAATAACAAACCGCTTTTGGATTCTCCTTAGAGGCCTACATTTACCCAAAAATAAAAAAAATATAGAGACAAAAAAAATATCAACGCAGTTTTATAAATAACTAAACCGAAACTATTTCTCTGCTATTAAAAATATAGTTTACCACAAAAGCCTCATTAGATTATTCGAACATATTTCTCGAAAGTCGGTTTAAGATATTTCATAACTTAATACACTTACTAAGATGTCGGTATTGCAACTTACACAGTCGAGCGAGTTTGAAAAGACAGTAATACCTCTCAGATTGCACGGAGAATGTTCAAAGATGGTCAACTCGAGTTGAAACTCAATTAAATACAGATTACATCCAAGTTTGCAGCAAGATGTTAGAGGCTCCCTCACGTCTTCCCCACCCGAACTCTATCCGTGCGTTAAATTATTTCCATAACTCGACCAAGGAGGCTTAAAGACAGTTTCAAACCTTTACAAGTTTTAATTACTGGGTGAAATTAATTTTCGAGTGTTTTATGTGGTTAATATTTTTGTAGGTAGCTTATTATTTAGTGTCCCGACTACAGTATATAAATGTTTAAACCTAGGCATACAGGAAATAGACAACTTTCTTGTATGAAATATATCCTTTTAAATTCCATAAGCATGATTTTAATTAACGTTTTTATCCGAGCTATATTTTTCCTTATGACTCAAAACCTATGACTGTGAAAAAAGCACGTAAATTAAACAGGAAGAGGTATTTTATAGATCCTGCATTATATAAACGCTGCTTACTAGCCTCATAGTGAAGCGGGCAACGTGTAGCAAAGTGAAGGCGATCAAAGAAGTCTACTAGTTTTTTAGAGAATTTCCAATATCTATATAAATAAAATTATATTTTTGTCTGTACATTGCTCAAAATTATATATTTTTTGTTATTTCTGCGTTTCATACAGTAAAAAGGCCGAAACAAGTCTTAACTCAATTTCTGTCTGTCTGTCTGTCACGGTCCCGAAGGCATTTTACGCGGCCTTCTCCTGAAAAACGAGAGTACCTGTCAAGATTCAAACCATTTTAATGTACTGTATTCACTAGATTGGCGAGAGTGTCTTTAAGCCATTAAAATGGCCTCACTCTCACTACTTTGTAAATCAAATGACGCACGTTCAAAAACCCAATTTTGTGCGATTTTTGTCAAGTTTTCTCCCAATTTTTATCACATACGTCATCTATGAAATAACGAACAGCTGTTTGGATCAAGATTATTTGTTCTAGCTGTCACTGATATGTTTACATTAAATGTTGTTGTTTACAAATACCGCAAACCATTTCCGATCACGTTTTTTATAGCAAATCCAAACCAAGTGAGATTAAAAAAAGTGTTACCTAACATTTAACGGATGCAATTAATCGCAAGTGCAATAATGTGTAACCGTAAATGAAATTAAATAACTATAGTTCGGCCGCTTAGAAAGCGACCTCCTCCAGCATTGGTTTAGCATTAGCGCGCAGATCGTTTTCTAAGCGGCCGAACTATAGGCATTATCCAGGCCAGGAACCGGAGATTCTTTGTGCATCAAATTGTTATTGAGTTTTGATAACCGGGTAAAAGACCTTGAATCAGTGTTGTATAGGGCTGGGAAACTTACATTTTTTAAACCATTGTCGTAAATACCTTACAAAAATAAGTTTTCCGCTCATTAATGGTGCTTACTAATTTTATTATGTCCTTTACTAAGGTTAAAGCGTACCAAATTCCGTAATTAAATTCTGTATTTCTTTGTGTATGTCTGTAGGTAACGCATTAATGTCCTTATATTTCTCAATGTTTTACGGAAAAGACAAGAGCAACTTTGTTAATGAAAATGTCAACCAGAATATAGTGTTCAATCGTGAGGTTGAGGTAGTATTTTAACTACTTTTAACAAGTTACTTCAACTTACTACACTATCCCCTGCGTAGAACGGGCACACAGCTAGTGGGGAATAAGACCGTAGGTCTCATGGTAAGACCTGGGCCCGGGACCGATTTATTTTTTCGTTTTGAGGACCCCAGAGGCAGTAATTTAGCTATAAAAATTCAGTGTCGAAGTTGTAGCCAAACTTGGTTGTATCGTTGGTTGTATCTCATCCATCTCTGCTTTTCCCTCGACCACCCCTAGTCTGCTTAGTCCTGACCACTGTCAGTTTAGCAACAGCAAATGTGGCTGATATCTTTATAGCCTAAATCAGTCACCCTTAAAGCATCATAAGGGAGAGGGTGACTCGGTGACTGATAAGCTACTGTGAGTTTGACCTTAACATTGTTCTCTCTTATCATTTACCTTATCATCTTGTATGTGATAGAAAAATCTTGTTGTTAATTGCTGTGCAGCTCTAGTAATATTTTCTAAATTTAAATGCTGGTTAAACTGTGTGAATTAAAGAACTTAATTGCCATGGCCTATAATCTTTAAAATGGTTATTAATTTTTGTTTATTTTAAAACATTTTTAGGCTTAGGTTGTAGTTAGGATGTTTTTTTGTTTTTTTAAATCATCAGCATAATTATTTCTTTCCATGTAGGCATAATGTTAAGTGATTTTTTCTGCTTCTTTGGGGTTTCCCATACTACTTGAGTTTAAAGACCAAGTATATTATAAGAAGTATTATACACTTTAATGACGTCATTCGCCTATTGGTTCTGATGATGATTGGAGTGTCCAATCGAAATCGATTACCACTTATCATCTTTTTTGTATATTTCCATCTTGTGAGTAACAGTATAAGCGTAAATATATGTTTGAAGTGTTATAAGATGTTTCTTTTATTTACTTTCCGTAAAAAATATATAATAGTGAATTTTTGTTTTGTGTGTTTACACTACATTGGCATTTTTGTAAATTTTTATAAGGGATGGGTCCAAAAAGATAGCCTCGTTTACTATTCACTGGTGATATTTTTGATTGATAGCCCAAATAATTTTGTTTTTTTTTAAGACAGGTTTACAATTTATTTTGCATCCAGAAAATTCTATAAATTTTAAAATAAATTGATCATTTAACTACTATTGCTGCTTAATTACACACCTGCTTAACCTAAAATTCACAATAATTGAAAACAATTTGTTTTATTACAAAAAAATTTAGGCTTACAACGGGAGTTATTTATTTTTCTTATCTAAGTTCATACTTTTACCACAAAAACTGCCAATACTTTTACACAACCAACATAATGCTATTCCAATTGTGAAAGTGGCGAGTATCACTACCCCCGCCACATCTAGCAGCATCAGCTGGTACAGAGCCATGCGGGAGGCTGCGGGACGCAGGTGAGAGGCCCCGTTATGGCGGAGAACGTAGTCTACCCAGTACACAGCAGAGGTAGTCGGTGAAGAGGGGGTGTCTCGGAATATGCTAGAGAGGCGACGTGCATTCTCTCTGTACCTATTGGACAAGATTGTTATTTATTTACTAAAACGTGAATTTAAAAAAAGTATTTTTCTCACAAATAATATTTTGTGAGCTTGTGAAAAGGATCCGGTTGTAATATGAGTTCGGATAAATAAAACAAGAGCTACATCATTTTTACTAACTTTCTTCTGATATAGTTTTTTTTGGGGGGGATTTTTACGCCATAGGTATTTTTTACGTACTTTTCCTAGATAGAGTTCGTATATTATAGCCAATGACAAATGGAATTTGAGTTCAGAACCAAATCTGCAGAACCAACACTACACTATAACCACTCATCAGTTACCCATTCAATTCAAGGAACCATATCAAAATTCCATTATCCAATATATTATTTATACTCAATCCTGTTTGTTGAAAACCTTTTTTCTCAGCTCGTGTGCATCTTACAAAAAATCAACAATTATTTTTTAATCGCTGAATTTTTGCTTGGTCTGTTTGGATGTTAAAAGACAGCCATATGAAAGCTTTTTATTTAAATAGGTTCAAAATTATTTAACAATAAGATTCAAGTTTTGAATGTTACTTGTCTTTATTTATTCTTTCCTTTTCAGAAAATATTGAAAATACCTTAATAAACAAATATACCTGCTATTTTAAAAATCATTGGGTTAAGATGAAGTGTATTGTCCATGAATATACTTGTATTCTACAACACGTTAATTTAGATAATGAACTATTGAACATTTGAAAACCCATACTTACTTGAAGTTATTTAAAACTCTTTCCAGAGCAAAATGGAGTTTATCTTCAGAGAGTGTTTTAAAGTCAACTTTTACTCCAATTTCTCTTTCTTCGTTGAACCTGATGTTGAAGAACTGATCGGAAAAAAAGGGTATTCCCACAGTTGGTACTCCTGCGTGAATCGCTTCTATCTGGCTAGACAATCCCCCGTGTGTGACAAACACTGCACAGTTTGGATGTTCTGGAAAAGTCAGTTTAACAATAAAACAATTTATATTTGTTTAGTTCATGTTCAAAGCTTGGTATAAATAACTATGATTGTTGTTTCAGACCCTGTCTTAGAGATGTACTAGAAGAGTAAGTCTGTTTAGGAGCAACAAGATAAACAAAACCCAAGTTAAACATAAACAAAAAAACAGAAGAGCTGGGAAGCCAACATCTCATCTGACCATGAAGGAAAACTGAAATAGTTCCATAACCAGAATGAAAAGTGAGTGATTGTAGAAAGTAAGAAAGAAGCATGAGGCTTTTTAGTACGTCACAAAGAACATAAAATGAAGATAAAAACCCCAAACCACACCAAAGTACTGGTGGCCACCAGCTTCATACCCTAAGATCAGCCCTTCCCAAACTAGTTGGTCCCATTTTGCGACCCACCTTAACTCAAAAATCCAACCTGATTGTGAAATCTCCATTTTGTAATAGTTTGTTTGAAAAGAAAAAGTGCTAAGTTGCTAATTTTTTGACAGCGAAAACTTTACAGACATTTTCCACGATCGCCATTTAGTGTGAGATTTCTGTGCCGAAAAACTTGAAATCCCCCATAAAAATTTGGAATAACAATTTCCCAAACATTTAGTATTTGAACAACACCAGTAAATGGTAATTTTTGTAATGTACAGCTCGCCCTTTACTTTGTCTAATAGTTCAAAACTCAGGATGCAAGCCCATGTGGATGAACAAAACCAATGTTAAAAAGTGCTTCTTAACAGATATATTAAACTAAACTATTGATACATTTTAAATATATCCTTCTAAAAATAGTATAACTAGAATGTAACCAGTTAGAAATCAGAATACCTAATATACACCATACTAACACATCTTTCTACTGGATATTATACAGTGGTATGTAAATGGTATGTAAATTGTACACCTTATAAATTAACTTCAAACCTCACCTAATACCCCTAGTTGTGGGGCCCATTTTACAAGTTTGACATTTTGTGACATCTCTGGTAGTTTGTCAGCTTCTATCTTCCAAAGAACCTTTTGAGGTAATTTTTTGAAAACGGTCATGAACATATTAAGCATTGCTTCAGGCATTGTGTGTGTGGGAATCACAGTTCCAAAACTGAAATAGACAACTCCTTCTTTGGCGTTGTCCATGAAAGTTTGTATATCCTGTTGAAAACGAACACAATCAATACGTATTTTTAGGATATTTTGAGAGGATAGCAGGCTTACCTGAATGGGAAAAGAGTCCATACTTGCATAGGAAACAAAAAATTTACACTATATACACAAAACTCAAGAATATTTCACTGTCACTGACAGCATTTTCAACCAAGAAAGAGAGAGTTTTCTTTATGTCCAAACTTTTGCTCTATGTTACACCCTTACAATCTAGACATATGTGAGACAATTAATCTTAATATTTTAGTTAATAATGTTAATTACCTGAATGCTAAAACAATTTCAGAAAACATAGTTATTACCTACTTAGGTTTCAGCCCTTAAATCACTACATTGATGTCAATCACATAACTGATCTTATTTCATGTGTTTTTAAAGTACCTGGTAAGAATGTAAGCATACAGGAGTTTCTCAAAAGAGGTAAATCCCAAATCTCAAATTATTTCAACCCATTAAATCTTAGTAATTAGTAGCCTATTATTTACAAGATGCAGTTTCTATTAATTTCTTCGTTATATTGATGATTTCAATATATTAAACCAAACTTTTAAGTGTTAAGTAGAGGCTATTCACTAAACCAAAATCTTACCTTAGGCAAAGGAGGTTTTTTAGGGTCTATCACGATTCCAGCAATAGGAATTATATTGGGTGTGAACGGGTGGGGGTAGAATACTGCAGGGTGGGTGTTAACAAGCGTTAATGACACATTTGTAGTCAGCTCGCCAACAGAAACACTGTCAGAAGCGTAATACATTTCCAACAGTTTGTTGTGCTTTGGAAGATGGGAGAAGTAGTATAAAAAGAGTGTAACAGAGGTTGACACAAAGTTTCTCAAACGTTCTGTGAAGGTCATTCGATCAGAAAACGCAAATGAAAAAGAGTCTGGGATTGTTGCCATCACAAGATCATTTCCAGCATCTCTGTTGAGCATCATAGAGTGGAGATTCCCTTGCAGAGTGACAGTTGGGGCTTTGAACTTGTGACCGAACACGAGCATCGATTCTTGTCCAAAGGTAGATGAAGTGACCACCAAGTCAAAATGTTCGTTTGACTGAAGAAGTTTTTTTATGTTTTCATTTTCAAATGTTTCCCTACAAATTGGGTAGAGCAGATTCCAAATGTTGAGCCATATTAGACCGAAGTAGTTTGTTAGTTGTTCAGAATGTTTTGGCATATCCTCGAACCTCCTGTTACCTGAAATAAAATAATACTATACGGCATTTATTTGCACTAACAATTTTCTTATAGAGAAAAATACTCTATTCCTTAGTTCATCAACCTACATTCTATCTCTATCTCTCATGTAAGCTCAGACACACAAGATATATTATTTTTTGTAAACTACAGACCAGACCAATTAATGAAGTATTATTATGGACTGGCAAAGGAAATAAAAGAAGCAGGGGATAAACATTTACATCCATTCATGAAAGAAAATTGAATGGAGGTCATACAAACATTATGATCAAATTAAAGTATTTTCAGCTTTATTAACAAAATGAGTACTCCTTGAAAAGGAAATATATAATCAACTGACTTTATGAATGTAGGGAAGCACTATCTAATAGAATAATAAAAACGTTCAATGCTATCTTAATAATATAGCATCAACTTTACGAATTGTACAAATTGTTTGTTGTTAAAATGCACTAACGAAATAAACATCCTCCTACCTACCCAATTTCGTATTGAAGCTGGTGTGCAGGTAGACATGAGTGTGGTTTGCTATGGCTTGTTTTGGAGGGAACGGACTGTACTCTACTATCTGATGGCCGCTCTCTGCCAACGCCTTCAACACCGAGATGTGGTAGATGTAGTGACTGCGGCCTGGGAATGGTAGAACTGCAAGTATCCTAGCAGACGACACATAGCTGGCATAGAGGACACACACTAGGACGACTAGGAAATAGGCCTTCATAGTAAGAACCTGGCGGAGCATTAATTTTTTATAGAATGTATAGTACAAGTTCAAGTAGAAGGAATCATGTTTTTGACATTTTTTTATCTTTAACTAGAGTTTTTCTTAGCCTTATAGTTTATGTCAACTTCGTGGTATTTTTCCATTTCATACCATCACTTCTCTCATAGTATTAGCGCATTAGGCTTTTTTCACAGTTTTGTTAAAGTTAAAATTTAAAAAAGTCTAGCACTTTAACATAAAATATCAGCATGTTTTGTACCAGGCATATATTCACGTGACACAACACGGTAAAATCAAGTCTTGAAATTTACCATATAATGTATATTCAGAGTTCCAATATAATAAATTTATCAAGAATGTTCACTATACAAAATAATTTTGTTTCGATAAAATGAAAATGGAAGAATTACCTTATCCAACCACAGTTGCTAGTCATTCTAACCAAGGGTCACAATGAATAACAATTTTGTTTCATATTTCATCAGTATCATATTTCCATTTACTTATTACTTAAAAAAAATATAGTGATGGACATTGATTTATTTATTGTGTAACTGTTTTCACTTTCTCCCGCATATGTATTATACATATGGAGAAAGTTTTTTGTCCAAATTTCATTTTGAGTGGAAATATTAATTTTGGGTTCCCCAAACCTAAAAAAGTTGTTTTTCGATGTGATGTCTGTATATGATTGTGTGATTGGACGTGTACAGAGCTACAGACTACAAATGTGGTCCGATTTTGATGAAATTTTTGAATGTGGGTAGGTGCTGTGCTAATCCATGGAATCTCTGACGGTTTTTTTCTACAACTTTGAATTTTAATGGTCATATGCCATAAAAACCAATAAATAGCGGAAGAATGTGATTTTTACAAAAACTGCTCAATTTTGACTAAAATTTTGTATGTAATGGTCCTTCTGAATCTTAACATGCATGAACCCCAATGCTGCAAAAATTTAGTTTTTATTCCAATGCTTGTTAGCTGGTTTACGTTATTATTTTAGTTATTCAAGTGAAAAGATCAAAAACAATTACAAAATATGTGAGTTATGAGATGACCTCTTAGCTGATTTCATAATCAGTAATCAGTTGATAATTCCTCTTATTATTGTGAGTCATTGACTGTGAACAAAATAAATATTGTAGTACCAGACTGGTACATTGTTAGCATAAATGGTAAAAATTTGAGATGTAAATATTTTTAATAAGGTTGTTACATCTTTCTTAACCTGTTCATAAGCACCTAGTTCCCTGCTAACAGCTAACAGAAAAGAAAATGCTAGCTCGCATACCTAAAGTTGATTAGCTAGTTTATTCACGCCACAGGAATCTGAACTCCTTTTATGTCGCATATAACACCACTGTAATAATTCTGCATTTTTTTAACGAATACCGACCACATAACGTGCATCCATGTCATTTTAAAGTAATCCAATAGCTGACCTCATTAATATTTCTTAAAACACCTTGTGATGAAATCATAGAATCAAGAATCAAGAGCGTTATTGTCATTGACTTTTTTACAAGGAATAGACATAGTCAATAGAAATGATATCTAAAACTAGAAAAATACTAAGGGTTCAAAATTAAAGTACATCATATTTGAAACTTGTGTAAAGAGCTTTTCTTGAAAGCTTATGACGTATGACTTGAATGAAAAACACGATATTCATAAAAAAATGTAATTGAATTTTACAATAAAAGTTTAAATAGATGATGTAACAGAACCTTAATTATTATGTAATGCCAAGTGCTTCAAATTTAAATAGTCTTAATAATAGTTAATAACAACTTAACGAAATTAACTTCTAATTTATGGAAATCTTAACTCAAATTAAATACTCTTACAACATTATGATTTGTTTTTTTGAAATAATACAACATCATTCTTTAACAAATTTAACCTTCTGTAAAGTATTAACAAGCTGTTTGTTGCTTTGAAGTATTGAAGATAATTTTTAAAATGTGTGCACATTATCAACGCGAAGGTAGTTTGTTTATCCATGGTATTCTGATTTGGAAATACGTCAGTATCTAACAAAGAAATAAATTAGACTTACCCTGAAAGCTGCCAGAGTAATACTAGTTCACTTAAAGTCTCTCTGATAGCCTTTGAGCTCTTCTTGATAATTATTTTTAATTTCTCCAGATGTCTATTTTTGTAAGAAAGATGTTTTCGGTGCTTAATTCGAATGATAAGATAATAATCTTCAGTCATATTTTTCTGAATGAATGACTTTAAAGATTTGTAAATTACATCCTTGGTGTTTTGTTGTACACACTGTAAATGTGACAAATTAGCAGTCTATGGTTTGTCTCTTATAAAGTTCTTGTTAAAGGTACAGTAGGATCTTGGTCTCGTTCTATCTCCAGCTATCTGCCCTTCCATGTTAATTATTTCTTTTTTTTGCGTGGGTTTCTCTGTCAGTGGCATTTTTTACGTTTTTGAAAGGGAACGGTCCAAACCCTGGTCTTGTTACTACCTAACGTCGACCTTTTTGTCAGATAGCATCATTAATTCACAGCCCAATGACAAAAATGGCATCTGGGTCTGGAAACAACCTCACTTGGTATCGAACCAGCGATCTTCAGATTTGAAGGCGAGCACTCTATAACCACTTGGCTACCCAGACAATTAATTTTTCAATTATTGTTATTCAATTAATATTCAACCTTCCCTGTGGAACATTGAGTGCCAAGAAATTGCATCTTATCCCTGTGTGCTTTTACTGATTTAGACAGTAGCGAGTACGGCAAGACATTCCTTATTGCTGCTACTGGCTGTACTTGGAATATCTTCATTGTTTATTAAAATACCAAACAGTTTATTTCCTTAAATCAGTGACCCCAATGCACAAAAATCTGTATCCACTTTTATAATAATTTGTTATTGGGTATAAAATGATACAACACATTTGGTATTTTCTTAACAAAACATCATTATATTTACTAAAACACTTAATTTATATAAATTTTGTCTTGCACAGTGAAATATTTTAAATATTAACATAAAAAATCAGCTAACAAAAAACAAAACATATTTAAACTGAAGAAACACTCTCCAATTGGAATTGTTGTGAGCGAAGTTGATGTCCTATGTGACTCTATGTATAGACTTGTCTACGAATTCTCTGAAATAGAAAAAAATGGGATTTACATCTACAGTATTCAAATGTGAAGCAACAATAAAAAGTTTTGAATAAGTCCTTTACATCAGCAGTGGGTTGTCGTGGCAGTGTTCAATACCCAGTAATCCCAGTATTGGTGACCTTTAATCCCGATAGATTTGTAAGAGTGAAAAACTACCGGTTTTTTAATTGGCTTTCTAGTTTTGTGTGACTTTTACAAATTAATATAAACATTTTTATATGTAATATTTAGTTAGATTGTTCCAATCTTATTCCAATTAATTGTTTTCAGATTAACAATGATTACATTGAAAACACAAACACTTATTACCGAACTGTCTTGATTATTTCTCTCATAACTTTGGGCTTTCCAAAATTATATCACCCACTATGATTTCAAATTTATTGCATTATTATTTAAACAACATTATAAGTGACAATTAATTTACAGTATTCTGTTGGTGTAGCACGTAAGTGTCAAATATGGTTTTTTTTCAACAAAACTGAGAAATATAGGTTACGCCTGGCCCAGAATCACAACAACAAAAACATACTCCATGACACCTATAACCACTAATACCAGTGGTTGGGTAAGTTTCAAAGTTAATTAAAGGTTTTGCATAGACTGATATTAACTTGAGAATTTCTATAAAATAATGTTAACACTATATTTACGATAACACTGGCACACATGTGGATGTAATATAAACCATTACCTGACTGTCGAGTTGAAATTGGGGTCCAGAGGAATGTTGTAATGTCCGTAGCCAAGACTTGCATCGTAACTGATGAATTCTATGGAGGCTGAGTCCTTACGGGCTGACGTCACTGCCTCGTACAGCTAGAAATTTAGAGATTTTGTTTGTAGAGAATATTATAGCCTACTGTACACTGTACAGTAATAGGATATTTATTTTACTAGAAGCTCTTGTAGTTTTCTAAAGGTTATATCAACCAAATATAAAAATTGTACCCCTGAATTGCAAGATTTCATCAAAAGATCCTTAAGATTCTCGAGTTGATAAACTTAAAAATACCAACAACCTAATTTTGAATAAAAAATTGGTCCACAGTTTAGGAAAACATCGTTTCTATTAACTACTGTACTTAAATAGAATTTCTAGATTGGAGGCAAAATAAATGTTAAATTTACCTGCACTGACTGCTCGTATGGAATGACTTTGTCATCTTTGGCATGAAATATTAGCACCGGGGTTGTGATGTTTGATAGATGTTTATCACTGGAGAATGCCATGTCGTTGTCATAGAGGGGCTGGATAAAGCAGTGCTCGAACCAGGGAACAGGGGCAACAATCTGACAAAACAAAAAGGAATTGAATGAGGCACATTAAACAAATAATTGTACAACTATTAGTGTCATACTCACATTTGTGTCCTAGTGCTGTCACTAAAATGTATGAAGACTTGTTCATGCTTATTAGTGTGCCTGCTTTTTATTTTTTGTTTTTGCCCTACGACGCTAGGCACGAGCCCTGGATTATTTTTCACAATACTTCAGGCTAGACATAGGGGTTGCGGCATAATCACTTGGATAAAATCCATTGGTGATTTGGCAGGATTCGAACGCAGGCCCTCTGGGACCAAAATCCTGTGCTCTAACCACTACACCAGCTCACTCCCCCAAGTGTACAGTTCGGCCAAAGTTTCTGTGCGCGCGACCAGATCTGGTTGGGTCTAGGCGGGGGGTTGGCGGGGGTACTTTTGTGAAAACATTTGTGTCTTGCTACTCACTCACCCCTACCCCAATCACTGCCAATAGCCAATAGTTCGGCTAGTAGTGACCCGTCCACGCGCACAGAAGTTTTGGCCGAACTGTACCTGCTTACCCCTTGATTTCTTTTTACGTCCCAAGCATGAGGCTCTAGGAAGAGGCCCATTTGAACGAGCAAATAAAAGGTAAAAAAATGTGGTAAACTTGTTTTTATGTAGTTCAGAAAACTACGAGTCAAATATATGGAATTACACATTTAATTTTCCATTGACTCTTTCTCATCTTCTTCCTTCAATACAGTCACACTGAAGTTTCCTGAAGAAAATGTATTTTTAAATTAAATTTTGTTATTATTGATTTTGTTTTGTTTATTAGAGTTTTGCAGTTGTTTTACCTCACATTTATCTAAACATACCATCATACAATGAGTGGTTTAGTGGAACGGAACGAGTGGGAACGGCGTTCCCAGTCTGCCTTTGCAAGAAAACCTATACAGGGTGATTGGTACTCAGTGTGACAAAATTTTTTTGGTGTAAGTACAAAGTAAATGAAGTGTGATGATGCAAATTAAATGTTCCAAGTCTAAAAATTAGCTTCCCAAAAAATTATTTTATATTTTTAAAAAATAACTATGCTTTTAAACTTAATACAGCGACTTCTCAATTACCTGTAAATGGGTTTGAGTAGATAATGTCATTTTCGTGTTCTACATTAAATTTTGAACAAGAAAAATAGAAAATGACGGACGATCAGTTGTAAAAACTCCATTGTAAATAGATTCAAAGATAAAAATTAAGATGTTTCATAAAAATTTAAAAACCAATGGTGTATTGTTTTTTTCACACCCTGTATACAAGAAAGTGTCGGAATATGTTAAAAACTGCGGCATTTTATAAGCTTTCCAACCATATGCTACACTATTGAGGTATATATTCTTTTGTTTGTTTTAGTGGTTTGAATACCAGAAAACAGATCGTCCGTCATTTTCTATTTTTCTTGTTCAAAATTTAATGTAGAACACGAAAATGATATTATCTACTCAAATCCATATACAGGTAATTGAGAAATCGCTGTATTAATTTTAAAAGCATGGTTATTTTTGAAAAACATAAAATAATTTTTTGAGAAGCTAATTTTTAGACTTGGAACATTTGATATGCATCATCACACTTCATTTACTTTGTACTTACACCAAAAAAATTTTGTCACACTGAGTACCAATCACCCTGTATATACTGATATGCATCTCAAAATCTTTTTGAACAGTGTGGTGAGTTTTTCTGCACTGTAAAAATCGACTTTAGTAAATCAACGACTACACGCTGTATAAAATACACTCTTGATTCTAATAATTTAAATGCTGTTATAAAATTAAACTATAAACATTTCAGCACTTATATATGATTGATTGACTCGGTAATATGAGGACGGGAATCCTGAAACTCACCTAAAATCTTTGTCAATACATGAGAATGGGTTCTCTAGTTACCTACCTTAGCGAGGTGATGGGCCCTCACAGCAGAAGCCATGTTGTCAAAAGGAGATTCCATAATGACTCCAGATAGGGGATCTCCTCTGCTGACCAGCAAATCTGCCAAATGTGCGGCAACTCTGCAGCCATCAAACATTTAACAACAAATTATCACCAGCTCATTTTTTTGCTATGATAATTTATAATAATGAAGTACAGCTGGATTCAGTTCAAATTTTAAATCATCAAAAAGCTACTATTGGCTTTTCTCATGTTCGAACGAATTACTTTTTTACCTTCTGATGAGCACTACATCTCTAAGCTACCCAACTGTACAAGCTGCAAGTCTTACAAGGGAAGTGAAAATGTCTTGTAAGTATGTTTGAATCAGTTGATCAAGTTAATTTCTGTACAATGTCTCTTTGAGAAATTTTGAAGAGTGTTAATTGTGATGCATTGAATCTGATGGTGCAAATAAAAATGACATGATAAAAAAACACTTACAAAAATCATCCATCAAAAAGAGCTTTAACAACGTAAAAACAATGTAAAATGTTCACATTAGGTTTAAGTTCAAGTAGGTTAATTAAAGGGAACTAGATAACCTGTTGCTCGAAATCGAGCAAAACTGAAACTTGTATAAAAAAAATAAACAAAAAACATAAACAGCAAGACCTTAATCAAAGAGTCACTCTAAAATAATGTATATGACTGATTATAGAAATATAAAAATATTATGATGTAAAAAAATATAAAAGCAATCTACAATATTTAAATTTACATTCACTCTCATACTGCTTTGGTTATCTCTGTATAGTAGGCGGGTGTACTCTATGAGGACGTAGATGTCAACCACACACTGTAAAGTGAGCTTTTGACATAATGTAGCTCAATTCCTCTCTTGACGCCAACTATCGCTACTCTTATTCTAGCATTGTTAAATTATTTCTTTGGTGTGTTATGTTTTAGCCGTATTGAAATAAGAATCTCACTTGACTTCTCGGAGCTCTCGTCCCTACATAATGTCTGCCACAGTCTTCAAAGATTTGCAATTGGGTTGGCATTGTGACCCTATTTCCCGCATATTTTTTCATTGCATTTTTTTATAATTGTGCTTGGTTCTCCTTTGGGTTCTAGTGACATTGTCGTACTTACTTATTATTGATGTATTCTGTTTTAGGCGTATTTAAATTAGGGGCCCCAACCCAAGTCTCCCGCTGGGAACATAAGAGGGTAAGCAAGTGGATCTAACGACAGATCTTTAATGGATACGCGTTTAACATAATTAATGTTGAAAAAACTATACGATTTACTTGGCCAGGTGGTGCTTTGTTTTCAGCTTTAAAAATTGCTGCAAAATCTACACAGGTAGCAGCACCATTGTAGCTAGGGAAGACACTTCTTCTGTCTCTTATTATGTACGTAAGAATCTCACTTGATTCCTCGGAACACCTTCTTGAGGAATTAGAGGACCCACTCGGTGGTAAAACGTGTCACGGATCTTACAATTGTAGATCCCCTGTGGAACTTTCTAATCTTAATGAGCTTTGGAGCTGACCACGGTAAAGGCAGAACTGAATTAATGAACTTTATCCAAATAATTTCTGGATATAAGTCTCACAGTCCTATTTTCAGATTGGGAGTTTCCAATAAGAACCCGAAGTTATTGTGGTGAATTGCACAAATGAGGTTAACGGACCTGTCATTTATGGCAACAAAGAGTACAAACTTAACTGTCTCGGCCAGTCTTTTCTTGCTTAAAAATATGTAAGCCACTACAATATTCTAAATACACTAAATATTCTGAGACGTATTTGCACATCTACGTGAAAATACCTTTAATTTGACAACCCAAACTTTAAAATCCATCAAGCCGTTATTGAGTTATGACTGTGAAAAGAAAACTGCTTGCGTATTAATATATAGATATGCCATCTAGAAGTTAATACTTTTCTGACATAAAATGGCTGTTGATCTTGAATGGGAAAACTTATCATTTAAATCTAGAGTACAATGAGTTAAATATGTTTTACTGAAAAATGCTCTTGAAAAATAAACATTACCCAGTCCCTAGGGAGTGCCCCCACAGTAGAATGTGTCCAGAAATTACTCTTTCTCTGATCCAGGTGTAAACTGCTTTTGCGTCTTCGATCAAGTCTGTTTCATTCTTAGCAAAACCTTTTGAGTCACCGTATCCTAAAACAATCAATATCGCCCAGTCAATAATGGGAATAAATTAGCTTTGTTGGAACAAATTAGTGAAAAGCTGATTTTTTTGGATAGTTGATTATATAAGAGACATTTCCTAAAAAAAAGGGCTAGACCCAGCCCCTCAACCCTCCCATCGTGCATTTAAGTTAACTTGAGTCTTTATTATTTTATCAATATCCAAGAGACAAACATCAATAGGGTTATTTTACTTTGTTATTTCAATCCTTAAAATTCTCCAAAGAATGTTATCAGTGTGGAATTAATATTCATCATTCTTCTTGTAGTTTAAGTTTTATTTTTTCACTTTAAAATTTTAATAATCGTGTGTTTAGAAGATCTGTAATGATAAAAGACAAGGTTGAAAAAAACGTTTTAAATAAAAATGTAGGTGTATTTAAAAATCTTTAAAATGATATGGGTTTGATTTTAGTTGCAGGCGGTTTACAAAACCAGTCCAGTCCGGTAACGGGAGGCAGCAGCGCCGTACGCAAGAGTGTTTGCAGCCCAGATCCGTGGGTATAGCACCTCAGCGGTCTAGGTGCAGAAAATACCTATTGTATTTTTTTATAATATATTTTTATTGAAATTATACAGTAATACAGTTTTTATTGAAAATTATAATATACAGTAGACCCCCTCTTAACCGACCCTAATGGGACCGGACCTAGGTCGGATGATTCAAAAGGTCGGATAAAACGGGCAATCCCTAAAATCATAACATAATGAAGTGCTATTCATCTAAAATTATATAATCATTATTTTGAAGTCATACTTGCATTATTTATAAAATAAACTACTCTTATCTCCTTTTTCATATTTATAGAAATGTCACAAATAAACACAAAACACGGTTAAGTCAAATAGACCTACTTTCAGTGAATATATTATAATACTAGGCAAGAGTCAATAAAATTCCTATTTTAATAACTTTACTACTGTAATGTATTAATTAATGCTTTCCAAATACATCGTAATACAGTAAAGAACCTTTTGTCGTCATTAAAGATACAAGCGACCATTTTGTTACAAGACAGGACATTTATTTATAGCCTCTCACTGGAGGCTCGAGGCACAAAAACTATCTTGACCTTGGAGTTGTTGAGTTTAGGAAAGATGGGGACAAGGAAAGTTAGGGCCAAATAGGGGTTCGACCGGGGTAGAGGGAGAGATTAGCTGAACTAGGCTCTGAAACGACTCTTTTAGAACGAATCGTTCTCCTGTTTCAGTTCACAGAGAGCTTAGCTACAGTAACGGGATTGACTTTAAAATCATAATTTGAATATTTCCAAACAGTAAACCTAAAAATGTTAAAAGTCAGTCAAGTACTGATTGATCCAGGCCTAATCGCCTAGGTTTGCTAGCTTCTTTTTTTACCCATTTTGGGTAAGTTGAATATATATTACAGAAAATATAAACGCATTCTATGCAATAATATTACTGAATATAATGTTATGACACATTGTTAAGATATATTGTTATAATTAGTTTAAAATTAAAATATTTTTGTGATTGTGTAGGCCTACGATAAACGTTATGAAATAAATTGTATTTTTGTTTGCACATTGCGTGTATTTGGTTACTTTTATGTCAGATAGACATTTTATCTCTGAATTTCTGATCCGCTGTCATTTTTTTTCGGAAACGCTTAAGAAGACTATTTTATGCGGCCTACTCTGGGAAAATTATAGGACTGCGCGGTCAAGATTGAATATTTTGACATATATTTTCAACGAAAATTCAGTAATTTTTGTAAGGGGTTCAAATCGGTTTATATGTTATATGATATTACCCGATGGTTAAAGATTTTCTGGCCAAGGGATCCTTGGCTGGATCCGCCACGGGATTACACTTTTTTTTATATTCACTAAATTGGTGAAAATGGCCCAATGTATTTTTTTTTAATATGTGTACATAACGGATTGGGGTATAGTTCAGTGGACCTGTTTTTCGTGGAAGGTCTAACATTGGCAAAACTATCTCGAATTCTCTGAGAGGTTCAGTATTCTATTCAATGAATTTGCAGAGCAGGGAAATTATGAATGTCGTCCGTTGGGGGGTCTATTTCGTAGAACACTTGGCAATAACGGTCGCATACTATCGAGTTCAAGTGGTTTTGAACGTTTAAATGTGAAATGTGGAACTGGTTAACATTTTTAAAAACTGACCAATTTTATTGTTTAACTATTTGTAACTTCACAGTATACTTGATTTGCTTGTTTCATTTATGGGGAGGGTTTAAAAGCTAAACCTTTAAATAAATTAGACTTAAAAGTAAAATACAAACTATATATCTCTCGGCAATAAATTACCCAACATAGGCTGAGGTAATAAATTAATGTAATAAACTTATAACTTTTTTTAATGTAAAGGTTTTAATTAAACTATAGGTTGTCCAGTGGTCGAAATCTCGACCAAAAATATGTAATTTACAGACTTTTCTATATTCACCCACGCTGTAAATAAAACAGGTGATTGGAATTTTTTCCATTTGTTTTGATTTTGAATGTATATAGCGTTATTTCGTCACCAGCATGGCAACCCAAAAGGTCCATATTAATTTATTAAAATTAAAATTAAATTTTTTGTGTCTTTTTAGCCCATTTTAATTAATAAAGGGATTTTTCACATCTACGGAAAAATGTCTTTTCAACAGTATGCGTAGATTTACCCTGCGATGCACACGAGCTGAGAAAAAAGGTTTTCAAGAAACATGCTCGCATATTAATATGTAGATGTTAGCTTGGAGTTGGATGGACCGAATTTATTTTCTCTTATAGATAGTTGTAACTAATAGCATATTTCATCGCTAGGGCCTAAAGTGACTCTTTTTTACCTTGCGGTGAACTATATTTTTCGTCATATTTCGTAATTAATTAGCAAACAAAGCTAGAAAACATAATAATTGTTATGTAAAGATAACTTTTCAAAACGAATTCCAGCTTGTTTTGAATTCTGTCAATTTTGTATATAAATATTTCAATCAGTATATATTGACGACGAAGGAATAAATTAGGCCTAAATTACCACTACTTTTAAGAATTCAGAAAAAAATAGTTTTAACAACAGCTGATCCTTAGAGTTCCTCTTTTGCGATTGCCACGTAAAACCAAAACAATATTTATGTTGGAAATTGGAGGTCAATCACACTCTCGCAACTACACAAAAGTTAACTGACCCGAGTGACCTGACACCCCAATAACTGGCCTGTTTGAAAGGAAAATCTGCAAATTGCAAATGAAGTCGATTCGGAGAAACGTGCGAGGGGATTAACGGGACATCGATGTATTCTGTTCTCTCATATTTCCTTTACCTTTCCAAGTACTGAATGTTTCTGGGTTTGCTTGGATTAAACAATAGGTGGAATACTTTGTACCAGATGCCTACGACTACATTTTACAACAGGCATTTCTTTAATCTTTATCAGTAATAGCTAGTCACGGGTTGTTCCTGAATTATATTGTATTATTGTTCTAATACAAACGAGAGAAATTCGTCCATGTTCACGGTCGTATGACATAAATTGAAGGCTATAACATCATCACGAAGTTGATGCTACTGTTTTAGAAATATTCAAGTGCATTTTTGATTTTAAAAATGTATGCTTGAATAATCATTTACAATTCGGGTTTACTCCGTGATTAATAAAATAACCCTACAAATACACTTAAATGTACTAAATCTGTTGTCCCTAAGCTCTACAAATAGTAACCATTTAAACAAGGTGAAAAATGTAAGGGGAGGTAGAACTAGATATAAATACAACAAGTGTGTCGTAGTTACAACCATCGAAGTATATAACACAACAATGTGTTATATACTTCGATGGTTACAACTAGACCTAGGTACAATAACAATAGAGAACGAGTCGATTTAAAGAGTCGTTCTCAGAGCTTAGTCAGCCTCCGTTTGCCTCCCCCTCGGCTCAAAACCCGATTTGTCCCCAAGTTTCCGTGTCCCTAAGTTTCCTCGTCCCCATCTTTCCGGACACCGGAGTTGTTAACACCCCTTCCCTACCCCCCATACAAGTTGTGTTGTTTGTTTACTCAAGCGATAAGATAATCAGTTCTCAAAATCGTAACGCACTTTATGATGTTATAAATTTGCCGCACAGATAACAAATCAGATCAGATGTGCTCGAGCTACGAACGATGATGACAAACTGACAATAGGCTACCTATGCTATATTTTTTGTGGTCATCACAAAATAACTTATTGTTAGTCATATCCTGTGGAGATGAGCGTATGGTTCAGTTCTCATCGCCGAGCGTGGGAGCGGAAATGCCGAGATTCCTAGAAAGCGGCGGTTAAAACGAGCTGCTCTCAAAGTAAGGTCGGTTAAAACAAACTGTATTATTTTACTAACAAAGGCGGATAATCCGATTATCGGTTAATACGAGGTCGGTTAAGTCTACTGTATTTTTATTTATTATAAATTATACTATACAGTATAAATTATGTATTATCTATTTTTCCCCTTTTGTGTTTAATTGTACAGTCTTCAGGATAGCCATACAAAATTACAGTTACATCTTATCCAACGTTGTCTACAACATACTGCTGTGTTTTTGTACAATATTTTGTTACAACATTCCCTTTAGAGCACTAGACCTAGTCAAGGGTGGTAAAGATCACTAAAAGAGAAACTTTAGTTTCTAACTCTTGGGTTTCTTCAATCCTCTTTATTCCTTAACACAAATATGTAAAATTTTGTTTTTGGGTCTTTATTACTCCTGCCAGATAGTGTCTCCGGACTCGTATTCAGGGTTTGGCAGAGGTTGGATCAGTCCTTGAGTAAGTCCTTACTGGCCTGGTGATATACAACAATCCTACGGTGTGGGTCCGCGGTCTCGATCATGTTAGTACCTTCAACCACAGAATCCTTGGCTAATAGCTGCTGCTCTTCACTGCCTTATTCAGCCTAGACAGTCTACTCAATCTGCAGTCCCAACGTAAACTGCCTTTACTACAATACGTATATGTAAATA